CTTTGAATTGTGATACTGGAGGAAAATATTGAACATCCCACAGACTGCCAAAAGAACAAATCTCTCCTGGCTGATCCTTAAAGGCAGACAGACATGGTGATACTTTGTTTCACATACTTTGGACATAATCGTTAAGTCTAAAAAGACTCTGATCCTGCTTAGAAATATGCAGGGTTAGAGAAAAAGAAATCTTCAAGGAGATGAACTGACAGTGACTCAACAATGGCCTTGAGTCTAAGAAGATGGTCAGGATGGTGCAGGATTGGGTGAGGTTCAGATTTGTTCACAGGGTCACTATGGACTCATAGCTTAAAAACAAGTAACAACAGTGTATCGAAAGGCTTTGAAAAGTTCAGTATTATAGAATATGGGATGAAAGGAATATTGCCCTATGGTAAATAAGTAAAAGCATTTAAAAGGTGTTTGCCCCAGACAAAACAGTATTTCCGGTATTGGAAAAGTTCCATTCTGTTGAGTTATTCTATCATTATTACACCTTAGTGATTTATAGACCATAATTACATTTTTAAAGTAAACTCAGAAGAATGTAACAAGTTAAATTTTATAAACTCTTAAACATAATGTTCACTCTTAGTGTAGCTCCAGAAATACCTGCTGATTCTCTTAGCCTTTTCTGTCTAAACTGTTTACAACCGCTTTAAAGGAATAATAAGGTATTGGTTAGACTGTTAAAGGTTAAAGACTCAAAGACCTGAAACTTTCCATGCTCATTTTGAGACTTGGTCAAGCCGTGTAATGTTAGGCAGTGATTTAAGGATGAAAGAAGATTCAATGCCTCTAAACTGTGGTGCTGTGTAAGAGTATTAAGTACCTTACAGACTGCCAAAAGAACAAGTCTGTCTTGGAGGAAGTGTAACCAGGGTGCTTCTTAAACTCAAGGTTTATAAGCTCATAAGAGACAACTGGGATCAAGCTTATACAGTGTAGTCTATGATATAAAGAGACTGCCAAATACAGCCAGAAGTGCTAAATCTGGAGAGGATAAAATTGATAAATGGGACCTTCTAAAGATTAAATCCCTCTGTTCTCATCAAAAACATTTTCTAACAGTGAAAACATACTGACTGGGGAAAAAGCATTTGACAATACTATTTCAGACAAGAGTCTGATATCAGAAGTTTAAAGAATCCTACAGGGCCTCCACAAGAAAAAGATTGAGAACACAAATACAAAATGGGAAAAAGACATGGAAAGAATTTTCAGAGGAAGATACTTGAATGGCCAACAGACACATGAAGAATTGCTCAAAATCACTGGCAATAAATAAGAGATGTAAATCAAAACCACAATGAAATACCATCACCAGTAGCAGTAGCAAAAGTTTAACAGGACAGCAAGTAATAAATGTTGGAAAGGATGTGGTGGGATAGGAACTCTTATACACTGTTGGTAGGATCGTAAAATGGAAGGCAGTTGGGTGCTTCCTCAAAAAGCTGAACATAGAAATTCCCTATGACCCAGCTATTCTACTGCTTTGAATATATCCTGAGAGAAGGAGAACTGAGGCCCAAACAGATCTGTACACCAATGTTCAAAGCAGCGCATCATTGCAAGACCATGGAAACAGCCCAAATGGCCAACCACAATCAAATGGATTGAGAAATTATGGTTGGAACTACACAGCACGCAGGAGCAAAGATTTTGTAAATTACTACCTACCTTGGGAGTGACTGGAGAGCATTATGCGGAGTGAACTCACTCAGTCTCTTAAGGACAAATACCTGTATAAGACCACTATTGTATAAGAGTATGAGGATCCAAGGGGAGAGGGTGAGAATGGGGGAGGATGAGTGAGCATTAATCATAGGGTCACACACTTTGATGCGTGAAAGGGCTTGTGAACAAACTGGAAATATCTGGTGTGAAAAACAATGTATATGGACTTTGTCGGTAAACCAGTATTTTTTTTAAAGTCAAGGTTGGTCAAACTTCTTTGTCGGTAAACCAGTATTTTTTTTTTAACGTCAAGGTTGGTCAAACTTCATCTCATACTTCCAGCATGTTGTCAAAAGCCCAGTCCCTGGAGAAGGACATGTAAAGTGTTGAAAAAAGATAAGAAGACCCTCAACAAAATGGACTGACACAGTAATTCTAACAATGGACTTGTGAATATCAGCAATCACGAGGATGGCACAGGGTAGAAAGTTCAAATCTATTCGTGGGGTCATTATGAACTGTAGTGGGCTTACAGTTCCACTATATCTATGGTACCTAGCTACATAGCTAAAACTGATCAGGGCATTTCCCCCCCTTACCTTCACTTTCCCTTGAGAGCAGTGGTCTAAGAGAATGAGACAGTCTGTGGCTTCTTGTAACAAGGCAGTCTTCACCAGCTCAGGTGTAAGGCTTGGATCCCTTGCTACATCACATATCAGTTTCAGGAGGGCCTTTAATAAAACCACAAGTCTACAAGAAACCCTGGAATCAAGAAGAAAACCTACATAAATTGTCTAAATCAGGAAAACTGGAAGGGACTTCCTATCAAAATTTGAATTCAAGTCCGCTAGTTATGTGATTTAGAGACTACACAAGCGGAGGCAAAACCAGAGACCTAACCCCTTAGTCTCAGCTCCTGACTTATTATAGTATGCAGCCGTATACATATGCTTAAGTGTTACAGCCAGACGCTTATGTTTTGACTATAACATACACACACACACACACACACACACACACACACACCCAGCATATTCATTTTCTAATCTTCCTGTATTTGTTCACCTATCCTTTTCACTTGGAATTTTGTTCTTACAACCTGGCATTGAAATAATCTAATTCAACCTCATTTGTCCATCTACTCACTCTAGGAAGCACTAGTGGTCTAGTGGTAAGGAGCTGGGCTGCCAAGCCAAGGACATGGTTCGAATCCACCTGCTGCTCTAAGGGTGTGCAGTCTCCTCTCAGTGACTGCAGCCACTGAAAACCTGCTGGAGAGCTTGACACCAGTAGGCATCCGACTCAACAGCACATAGCTCATTTTGGTCTACTCATTCTTCAAATATTGGTACTTACCAAGTACTCTGTAATTTAAGGGACTAACTGACGGGACCTTCCATCCTCATAGAGTTTATAATTTATTAGTGGAGAAAGATAGTTAGTATTCAATATATTTACAGGTAAGTGATATACAGGTACATTGGCTTTATAAGGGAAAGTTTCTGTAGATTCCTTCTAAATGCACTAGAAAGAAAGAGGTTGTCCAGAGTAGATTACTCATGTTTTGGGGATATTCTATCATCCATTGCTGTCAAGTTGAAAGTGATTCAGCTGTCCTCCAGCAGGTTTTCGGAGACTGTAAATCTCATGGGAAAGGGAGAGAGAGCTCATTTTTTTCCCAAGTAACAGCTACTGGATTTGATCTAGCTGCCTTTGGGTTGGCAGTGCAACTCCTTAGCCACTAGGCCACCAGAAAGGGAAGAAAAGGAATCGTTCTCTGTTCTCTAACTGAATTAAAACTAAGTTTTACATTATCCAAGAAAGCTTTTTGCTGACATTAACAGTTTGGGTTCAAGTTTACTATTCCTGACACCTAATTTCACCCAGGGTTGGGATGCTTTCCATGCATTATGTCCTGAATTCTCCACTACTACTCTGCAGGTTTTAAATGATAGCCTATGAAGTATTCCATCCTCAATTAAGAACTTTCATTAGGATAAACAAGTTATGCATTTGGAGCACTTTTAACTGGCTTTAACATTCTAATGCATTCTAATTTTAGAGAAATGTCTTAACTCTTAGGGTTTCCTAATCACTGAACTTTTTCCTCCAGTGAAACATCAGAAGAGTACTTAGATGAAAGAGGATAGTCTTCAGGATCTGGAACTTACACCCAGTGAAAGGATAACAAAATCAGCACCTGAACTAACTATAGAGTTACTTTTTCAACACCATTGCTTCAGTTCAAAATTCTATCTGCCTGTGTGAGGAAGAGAGCTATTAAAATACTTGTTAATGTTATGTGCTGTCTAGTCAGAAATGACTCATAGCTGACCCTCCAGTGGGTTTTCAGAGGCTGTAAATCACACAGGAAGAGACTGTCCCTGTTTGGCTCATGAAGGAGCTGCTGGATTTTAATCACTTGCCTTTGGGTTGGCAGCACAACTCCGTACCACTAAGCCACCTGAAGTCCCTATTCAAATATACTGAATGCCCTTAATTCTTTGTATAATATCTATCTGGGTACTACTGCAAAGAAAAGCAGTTAAGTGTTGGCCTTTTTATTAGCACACCTGTTTACTCGGCTGCTATACCTGGGCCAAGTATGCTGAATAAGAAGTTTTAGGGTCTCCAGTGTCTTCATTCTAGCCTCTTCCTCTGGTCCATCATAAACCTCTAGATAACCAATGATGACTCGCTCCAGCCTCTTCATGTGCCGGACAGTCAGTATCCCCAACCTAAAAGTGAAAGAGAAAAGGTAATGCCAGAAGAGTTGAAGTAGGGTAGGGTGTTCAGAGCAGCAGCCAGGGCCTCACCTCTTCACAAAAGCAGGTAGATGTCTTGCATATGTCCTGCGTAAGGGAAGACGGTGCTCTGGCTCCATGTGGGTCAGGATTAGTTGCAAGACTTCATCACAGTGTGTAGTGGGTCGAGCTGCCTCTCCCTTCCATTGCAAAGCTTTCTCCAAGATGGGGAATAAATCTAGTAGACACAGGAGCACAGCCTGGGAGAAATTGAAGGGAAAGAACTGTGAACAGTTTATCCATTTTGCATTTATCACCTTATTTTCCCAAGAACTTCATTAATCTATTATCCTTCAGGGGATATGTCAGGATTGTCGAAGATAGTAAACAATACATTATTAAATGCGCATTTTTATACTATTAAGAAATTATTTATACAAGTCTTAAACTATTTTTATAAATAATTTAAAAATAATAAAATATTTTATAGTAGACTATTATTTACACTATTGTATTTATCTCCATATAGAACCCTCAAATTACTTAATATTTTCCCTTGGTTCTATTCTTTACTAATTTATAAAATGGGAAAACATGACATGCTGTTGTTAGGTGCCATCTAGTAGAACAGGACTCACAGTGAACTCTGTCCTGTCGTCTGGCACGCTTGAGCCCACTGCTACAGTCACTATGTCAATCCATCTCTTCAGGGTTCTTCCTCTCTTTCACTGACTCTCCACCTTTCCAAGCATGATGCCCCTTTCCAAGGAATAGCTTCTGCTAGCAACATGCCTAAATTATGTGAGATGAAGCTTCACCATCCTTGCCTCCAGCAAGGATTCTGGCTGCATTTTCTCCAGGACATATTTATTCTTTTGGCAGTCCATATTCAGTGCTCTTCTTCAACACCACAGTTCAAGGGCATCAATTATTCTTCTGTCATTTGTTTCTCTGTCCAGATCTCAGATTAGCAAGTGACAGAAAAGAACCTGGGCTGAATCAGGTGCACCTTAAGTCTTCAAACTGACCTCATTGCTCCTCAGTAATGTCAAGCAGTCCCTGACCACAGACTTGCCCAAAGCAATATGTGGCCACAGGTTAAGAAACTGCACTCCCAATCCAAAGGCAATCAGTTTAAACCCACCAGATGCTCTGCAAGAGAAAGATGGGCAATCTCCTTCCATGGAATTTATAGCCTCAGAAAAGCCACTGGAGGAGTTCTGACTTGACAGCACATAACAAAAGCAAGGTGTTAAAAAAACCTAAGAGGTCACTTTGAAGACTAAAGTATGCCTGACCCAAGTCATGGTATTTTGCCTCATATGAATGTGAAAGTAGACAAAAAAGAGGATCAAAGAACAGATGCACTTGAATTATGCTGCTCATGAAGAGTACTGAATATACAAACATGGAATGCCAAATGAGTAAACAAATCTGTCCTGGAAGAAATACAGCCGGATTGGTCCTTGGAGGCATGCATGGTGAGACTGTCTTACATACTGTGAGCATGTCATCAGTACTGGCCCATTCCTGCAGAAGGTTATCATGCTTGATAAAGTCAAGGGTCAGTTAAAAAAGGACACCCTGAAAGAGACAGAATGACACAGTGGTTGCAATAGCCAACTCAAACATAGTGAAGACTGGGCAGTATTTTGTTCTTTTGTTCATAGGGTCACTACGACTCAGAGCTGACTGGACAGTACCTAATGAAGTTTAGTGATATTTATATGTGCTTACAATAAATTATTCCTAAACAGACTATAAGATGGCCCTAATTTGTATCACATTTGACCACTTTATCTGTAGTTTGTGTTTAAGCTTTCCTGGGGTATTTGGTTTTATATTTCTATTCCACCAATCTTCTTTGTTATTAGTACCTGAATTGTGAGTACTGAAAATATTTTTTAAAAGGATGGTGGTAGGTGATAAAATTCATTTCCAGAGGCTATTTATTGTGGGAGCACACCTTTATTACATTTTGTTCACATGAGAGGACTACCCTTCTAAGCAAATACTCAAAACATTATAAGCTTTCTGCTTCACTGAGATGTGATAGAATCATCTGGGACACAGTTCCAGAGAGAAGTCTGCTGGAGAGGCTGATGTGCACTTCAATACCTAGGAGGGTGCTGGTGCACCTATGACTGGACCCTAGTATACTGAAATGTTCTTGAATTCAGGTGTGAAAGGAACAGCAGACTTCCAGAGACTCCAAATAAGAACGAAGCAAGAAGCAGTTCATTTGCACATCTTTTTGGACATGGAATATAAAGTTGTCATTGATTAGCAGCAACTGCTAGAAAAAGGATTTTGGAGTTTGGTGCAAACTGTATCTAAGAGAAATGGAATTTCTCTGGATGAACTGTTTAGATGGGCTTCGTAGAAAGGGAAGGGAAAGTTTCTGTTTAACATTATGAAATAAGCCACACATTTAAATTTGTGTTTAAATTCTCCAGAATCAGACTAGAAAATCTGGTTTTTATTTCAGGTGATTACTTTGTTTTCTCAGACAGTATTATCTAGTGTAAAGATGCCATGTTTTTATCCAGCTCCATTCTTTAAAATTTCTCTCTCATTTAATAAATAATCAACGTTTTGTTCTCTACCTGTGATGAAATTTCTGGTGTAAAACTCTTAGTCTAAAGGTTCTCACAGAATAAAATAAAATTGATCTGAACTAATTAGTTGCCAAATCAAGGAAAGTTTTCAGGCCTCTGGACCAGTGTGGTTTAGTAGGAGAAAGTAATTTTAAGTATGTGCCATCAACCAGAGCCAAAGAAGAAGAAATAGATGATTTCTACCAACTTTT